AGGTTTTTTTTTTTGACTGGCTCAGGATGCTTCAGGGCAGGTTTGGTAAGGCTTGAGGATCTGGAGATCGAACCACAGCATCCTAATTGCTTTGTTTTTAAGCAGTCCCTTTAACAACTGAGCTAATGGGCAGGCCCCCCTGATTAGGATCTGTATGCCAAAAATTCCATCCCAGAGTATCATGGCAGAACTGATTTTGGCTAGAAATGCCTTACCCTCCGGAAATCTTCAACACCATCCTCATGAAGTGAGTTAGTAGGTGAAGGGGTGGTTGAAAGACGATCCTCAGGGGACTGGGCAGGTGGCAAGATGGTGCCACCCCCTAAGCTCAAGCCAAGCTGAGAACTCAGTTCTGACTGATCAATGGTGGTCAACTGGCTATGCCCCATCAAGCCAGATGTCATGTCTGTCATTGGTACATCGATCGTAACAGGTGGGTTGGCACTATACTGAGTTCCTATAGAATGGTCCAAGTCCTGAGGCAAACAGAAGAACTAATTACAAAGTAATTATTAAAAACACTACTAGCCCTACCTCTACCCCAAATTCAAGACAGTTTATAAATCCCTTGCTTACCTAGCAAATAATCTCTTGTATCATTAACTATACATATAAAATATATTTAAAATATATAAAGCATTTTTAAAGTATAGAAATTAGTAATTTTACGCCTGTGCATTCAAAGGCCTATTTCTAAGATAATTAAAAATAATCAAGACGCCAGGCATGGTGGCCCACACCTGTAATCCCAGCACTTGGGAGACCAAGGCAGGAGAACTGCCATGAGTTGGAGGCCAGCCTGAGCTACATATAAGTTCACGACCAACCACAACTACAGTGAGACCCTGCCTCAAAAAAATAAAAATCTTAATCTTGGAAAAGTTACTTCTGAAAAACCTCCCCATCTGTTCCTCCTAAAATTATGGGTTTAACAGTTGTAATACACAGGCAATTATAGTAGGTAAGACCAATATTAGAGATGCCTGGCATCAAACACAGGGTGTGGAGATGTGCTATTGTTACTATGCACTGGAAATTCAACACAGTGGTTTATAACATATCAATCTATATTAATACTACATTTGGTTCATACTATTTTTTTTTACACTGATTTTTTTTTTTTTTTTAATTGGCGGAAGCGGGGATTGAACTCAGGCCCTTGTGCTTGCCAGGCAAGCACTTATTCTACTGAGCTATCTCCCCAGCCCTTATTTTTTTACTAAATCCTTTACACTGGTCCCTCACCTACCATCAAGGTTACATTTCAGACACTCCCACAATAAGTGAAAATCAGCAAAGTAGCAATTTATATTTATTTTAGTATTTATATATATTTTAAGGCGTTATAACCCCTTCCAACTCTCTTATAAACCTTTCCCTCACTTTTAAAAACATTTCTAATGTTCTTAAACATTTTCTTTTTTTAAATTTGGTACAGGGTCTCAGCTAAACAGTTCAGATTCATAGCAATCCTCCTGTTTTTAGCCTCCCCTGGTGCTGGGACTACAGGTGTGTGCCACCATGCCTGTTAACCATTTTCTAATCTGATAAACCTCCGTAATTTTAACAACATATGTATGCTGTATGGTATGGCAAAATCCTGTGATACAGTGAAAAATCTACAATAATAATTAAGATTAATGTTTTTTGAAAACTTGTGAAATAGTTAAGTCCAGGAAAGTCGAAGTGCAAAGCAGCAAGGGACTTCTGCAATTCATTTTCATTTCAGGGTTACTGTTGAAAATTTAAAACTTTTAAATCACTTTTTAAGTAAAATTCACCCACATAGTAAATTTTATGTAGATAAGTAATTTTTTTTTCACTGAGGTAAAATTAAATCTTTGCTGACAGCCTTCAGCTGGAAAAACAGGAACACCCAGATGTAGCAGAAAATAACTTTTGTCTCCCCAACACCATCAGCCTTAAGCCCCTAATAATGTTTAGTTTCTCACCATGGTCAAGCCCCCACTTAGGAGCCCCCCGCCCTGCTCCATCAAGCCATGGGTCATGCCCACAGGCATGTCCAATGTTTGCACTCCATACTGGGCTGAAAAACTGCCATCCTGTGAGGAAGATGGGTCTGCCAGGTCATCAAAGTGGCCAACCACATCTGAGACAGCGAGTGAGGGATCAGAATCCAAGGAGATTGGTGGGATTTCAAATTCCTCATCACCCAAGCTTGGTGTATGGAACGTCTGTAGGGGAAAAAGGGGAAAACAATTAGTACAAAGAAGGAACTGCAGTTTGCTAAGTGAAGAAACAGCAAGGTACTGGAGAAACTCAACTGTAATTTTCAATTCCTTTCTCTCTTTTCAACTTTTACTATGTTGGTTGTCCTAAATTATTACTGATATAACGAATGGTAGCACTGTTAGGAACCTGTTTTTATAGCCTGTTCAGCTATGATGCTTGAAATCGCTAAGAATTCTGACAGCAGTTATTTCATAGTTATTACTTTACTAGACCACAGAAACTCATTGCTTTAGGTTCATTTGAAACAAATCCTAAAAGACACTATCACAGGAAACTTATACCCCACTAAAATGTTTGCACTTGAACAGACCCTGTTTCAAAAAGACAAAAAACCTGAGAGACATTTTTTTTAAAAGGGTAATTTAAAAAAAAAAAAAAGACACAATAAGAAAAAAAAAATGTCACAGGTCTGTCCTGTTACAATTCTGTATATGGTTAGATTTCTAAATTTCTTTGTAAAAATATGTAAATGCTTATTTCTACTTTTTAAAAATTATTTTTCCTTCATATTCTGTAAGGACTTAAAAGTTCAACATATCAATATCTGATGGAAAATACCTGTTCCATGATACGCCAAAGATGTTTGATATTTAGACAGATAGGGTAAACCAAACTGTATACATTGCAGGTTAATAAGCTTGTCTTCTGGAAGGTTAACAACTTAAGTTAGCAGATCAAAATTGGAGAAAAGGAAGGGCTGCAAGGTCAGCCAACATTTTGGCCCTAGCCTTTCAAAGTCAGTGAAGACTCAGGACATAGGAAGGAGAACCTGTGCTGTACCATCATGTAACTCAGCTGTGCTCCAAATTTTCTGATCAAGGAGACTAAGGAGCACAGAGGAATGTGATCGACGATATAGAGTGTGCCTGGGGAGAGTCACATGGAGAGAAAAAACATTTCCTCAGGCTTTCAGAGAGAGCAAATTGGTCAAGCAATGGCCGTGACTCATGCTCATGACTCATGCTCATGGCTGACACTGACAAAAGATGCCTTTAAAAAGCTACAACTCTTGTTGCATAGGTCCTGCTTTACCTTGGTCTTAACCATCCAGCAGAAAAGTATAAAAATGAGGTATATAAAGTAAAGCCATATCAATACGATGAGCTGTAAAAGGCTCAAGTCAATAACTTCTGAGGATAACCCACTAATATTATAGACTGCTAGACAGTATTGGATTGTTTAGCTGAATTCAAACACCTATAGTATTTAGATACCAATAGAATAGCCACCTCTGACAGGAAAGAAAAAAGTGGGGGCTACAAAGGAAAGATCATTTTGTATTTATATATACAAAATAAGATAGATATACAGATGCTTTCACTTAATTCAATGAGGAGAAAGAGGTGTACTAATAGTATTTGGACAGGATATCCTGTCTGCTTCTTGTACTATGGATAACCACTAAGAAGATAACAATGTACAATGTATTGATTATCGAAACTGTCCTACTAATCAGCTTTGAAACTGTCTCATTCATATTTGTTTCTCAAATTAAAAAAAAACAAAAAATTTTAAAAAGACAAAAAAAGTTTCCTACTTTTTATTTTAGAAATTTAATGTTACCAACAAGTAAGATTCCCATTGTACAAGATTTTGAGGAAACCCCAACAACGCCAAGTAAGATAACAGTGAAGGAAAAAGCTATCCTACCAGTCAAAAGGCAAACTAGTTTCTTAACAGTTCTAGATCACATTCATAGTCTTGCTCTAACCAAGTCTTTTGTAAAAGAGAAAGAAAAAAATTACTCCAGTAGGCTAAAGACTCAGTCCCTCCCTGAGTCCAGCTAAACCCGTAATAATTCATTCTTTTTTTTCCTGAATGGGGCAATGACTCATGGAGCTAATAGCAATGTATGCCCTAGGATGTTACCTGCTTTAGCTCCATTTATCTGTCTGTCTGTCTGTCTGTCTGTCTGTCTATCTATCTATCTATCTATCTATCTATCTAGCGGTACCGGGGATTGAACTCAGGACCCTGTGCTTGCCAGGCAGGCACTTATTCTATTGAGCTACTTCCCCAGCCCGTTTTAGTTCCTTTCAGACACCAATAAAATAAAGTGAAGGAATTTTAGTGACAGACCACCGTAAGTCATAGCAAGAGACTTTGTTGTCAAAAAGATCTGATTTCAAGACTTCACTTTATGATCGTCAGCGGATTTTCCTCATCTATAAAACTGGTATTATAATGCTAATCCCCTTAGACAGTTATCAGAATAAAATAGACTAGTTCATAAGTTATCACACTGCCAGGCACATATATTCATTAGTGATCACTTTTAATAACTGACAGCCTAATAAATATCAATCTGCCCCACCTGTTATCATAAATGGAATTTAAGAGACTTTACATTCCATCAGTTTAACACATAGGATAATAAAACATCAACTAATTCAAATTCAATAAGTACCCACATTTTTCCACAATTAAATGGGTAAGAACTCCTTATACTTCTCTAGATCCCGAAAGTCTCATTAATACTGCTACCCTTTCTAATAATTATATTGCAGGGAGAGTATTTCTAGTTAGTCGACAACTAGGGAGAAAAAACATTTACACACAGGTGTAGTGGTGTATACTTGCAATTCCAATAAGTCCAGGAGGCCTCTGTGGCAAGAGGATCACATATTGAAACCTATCCTAGGCAACTTAAGTGACTGAGGAAGAAAGAACCTGTCCCAAAGTGAAAAAATGAAGAGCTAGGCATAGTGGTACATATCTGTAATCCCAGCATATGAGAGGCTGAGGTAGGAGCATCACCATATAGGGCCAGCCTGGGCTACACAGCGAACTGAAGGCAAACCTGAACAATATAGAAAAACACTATTTAAAAAAACAAAACAATAGCTCAACAGATTAAAGCCAAATAGCTCAGCAGATTAAAGCACCAGGCCAAGGGGCCAGGGGTTCCATCCCCAGGCCTGCTGTGCAGGCCCCACCCCCGGGGAGCCCTGAGACAGAGACTAAAACTGGGCCGAGGTGGCGCATGCCTGTAATCCCAGCACTTGGGAGGCTGTAAACAGGTGGATCACTACGAGTCCGATCTAGTAGTGAGCCCCTAAACACTCTGTACACCCTTCCCTAAAATACAGAAAAAAAAAAAAAAGAAAAAAGAAAAAAAAAAACAATAGTGAATGAATGAATATGGTTGAGGACATAGTTCAATGTAAAAGCCCTAAATTTAATCCCCACTATGAAAGAAACAAAAGTATGCCTGTGAAATCCTGGATCTTGTAGAATCATATTTGTTAAAAAAAAAGTTTCCTAGAAGACAAAAAGAGGAATGGGGAGATAGTCCAGTGACATAAGCACCTGCTTGGCAAGCACAAGATCCTGAGTTCAATCCCCAGTACAAAAAAAAAGGGGGGGGCTGGTGAGATGGCTCAGTGGTCTAAAGTACCTACTTAAAACAAGTTTAGCAAAGCACAGGGACCGCGGTTCAATCCCCCAGCACCACATGCCAGTCAGCCCCACCCCCTGGTGGGCTGAGCTGGCCCCCCCCCACAAATAAATAATTTTTTTAAAAGGGCAAAAACATGTCTATATGCTTTGTTTTTACATTCCCACATCCCCATATTTAATATTTACTATATTTAGCATGGTAAACATTTAGTAATTGCCAGGGATATGACTTGAGCAGCATTTAGAGCACAGAAGGCAGCTCTTGATAGCAAAAAATTTCCCCAAGACCTGAAACAATACAACACATAATTTTTTTGCTGTGCAGGAGTTTAAGAAGCTTTTCAAGTTCCAGCTCAGGTTCAGGTGATCATGTCTGAGGAATAAGGCACCAAAGATTCTTTACCAGATACTCAGGCAAACAAGACAAAGATTACAGGGACAGGAAAAAAAATAGGGAAACATTTGCTATATTAATATTTGTAAAACAGTTCTAAATTTTGTAAGACACAGACTGCTACAGCAAAGCAAAAAATGCCTATCTTTTTCTGCATCACACAACAAATGGAACAGCAACTCTGGGCTGGCAAGATAGCTCAGCGGACTAAAGTACCTCTTAGACAAGTGCACCGCAGTTCTATCTCTGGCACCAAATGCCACACCCATGCTGCCCCAGGGAGGGCTGGGCAGGCCAGAATCCAGGCATGGTGGCACATGCCTGTGATCCCAGCTCTGGGGAGGCTAAAACAAGAGGATCACTAAGAGTCCGAGCTGTGGAGTGAGAC